CCCAGATTTACCTACTTGTTACACTTTGGCCCCTGTACTTTATACTTTTCTTCCTCTCTCTCTGCATATTTTTTTTTAATCGCACAAGAGAATTTTGGAGGCATCATTCCTCTTTATACCTAAGGCTTTAAATGTGTGTTTCCTAAGAACCAGGACATTCTCTTGCATAGACACACTGCAATGATCAAAACCAGACAATATGATATTGATGCAAACGCTTTATTCGAGGTCAGGCGGCTGGTGACTGTAAGAGTCAGGATTCAAACTCAGGACATCTGACTTGAGAATCCCCGCTTTTGACCACCATGCTGTTAAGTAGGGTGCATTCAATTCTTGGCAGGCCAGGCCTAGCGTGTCCCTTCAGTGCATTCCATAGAGGCTGTCTTATCCCTTCCTCCAGTCTCACCTCTCCGAGTTTTGCACCCAAGAGCACATTGACTCTCTCCCGTTTAGGCTGCTAGCCTTGTCCTGGTCACTGGTGTCCCTGTCTCACCAGTGGGCACTTTGTCAGCAGTGGCCAGGCTGTGTTTATCTCTGAATCCTTCACAACATGTACAACAGGGCCATGCAAATAGGCAAAGCCTGGAAAATATCTGTAGAATTGAGCCGAGTCACTTTAATAACACTTACCTAAGCACAGATAGGTAGGTAGTATAGATAGATAGATAGATAGATAGATAGATAGATAGATAGATAGAAAGAAAGAAAGAAAAATCCCTAGTGAAAATGGGAGATTTTGATATACTCTTAATCCATCTAATTAATAATTAAATACTCGATTTGATGGTGCACTGACTTCCTGCCCTGCTAGTTGGTTAACCTCAAAGTATCATTGGAGTATCTAGACTTCTGCCCCCAAAGATAATAAACAAACCCACTCTTAACATCAGCAGTCGACCGAGTGTGAGCCTGGGTTCAGGAAATAGGCATTTATGCTTTTTTTCGCAAAGGATGAAGAGATCGGCTGCACTGAGATGGTGTGTGTTGGTCCCTCGCCTGTTTCACAGCACAGCCCTTTGACGCGTCAGGGCCGCTGGGCCCGTTCCTGCTGGCCGTGGATAGAAGGCTCCAGGCTCGGGAAGACAGCAGTCATCCCTGCTCACTCTCAGGGCAGGCTTTTGAAAAACTGAGAAGGGCTGGCCCCAGCAGTCATTTTAATTGACACCAGCTTAGATTCTGGATAATTCTTTCCAACTTCTTAAGTGGCATTACGCATTTTTTTCAGTGACGTGGGCATTAGAGAGAGTTTAGCTTGCTCTCTGGGCCCAGATTCTGGAAGCTCAGTTGCTCTGTGTAGTGTAGGGGCATTTTATTTAGCTTTTCTGAGCTTCATTTTATCCTCAGCAAAGTGGGGATAGTATCACTTACTTTATAGGGGTATTATGAGCATCTGGTGGGTTAATACATGCAAAATGCTATCTTCTTTTGGGTTCCCCCCAAGTGGCCCCTCAGATGAGGATGTGGGTGCCAGGTAGTTTATTTGGAAATTGATCTCAAGCAGGCATGAGGGTGTAGGGAGAAGGAGCTAAGGAAGGAAGGAAGGCCATCTGTCCTGCCTCCCAAAACTGGACCAAGTGAAACGGTGGTGTTCATTTTGGGAAGATTCCCCCTGGTCTTCTCTTACTTGAGAACATTCTCCAGCAATTACTTGATTAATCCCTCTGCTTCTAGTACAAAATTCAGAACTTCTGGAGGGATATTCATGGATTTCTATAATCCAGTACTCATCTTTCATCTCCTCTCTTGATGCAATGGCTAAATGGACCATTTCATGAACCTACCCTGCACTTTCCCACTAATGTGCCTAAAGAAAGTTGCTTCTCCATGTACACTTTCCTCAACATCGTCTTCCATCCCATAGTTGGCTCCTCCCTACTCTGTACCCCAGTCCGCCCCTAACGTTGCCTCTTTGTATCCATGCTGCATATCTTGGTGTCCATTTGTGCCCTTCCTCTAGACCTGCCTGTCCAAGATGGAAGCACTAGTGAGCAGTGCTCCTGCGCATCTGAAATGTGTCTAGTCCAAATTGAGATGGACTCCAGGTGTCAAATACATATTATTTCAAAGTCTTGGTATGGAGACCAGAATGTAAAATATCTCATTCATCATCTTTATGTTGACTCTATGTTGAAATGATAACATTCTATATATATATATAACCCCATATATATATATATGGGGTTAAATGAAATGTTACTAAAATTAAATTTCTTTTTACTTTTTTATATGATTAGTAGAAAATGTAACTTTGTATGTGGCTCATAGTTATATTTTTATCAATAGCACAGTTTTAGACTGTGAATTTCTTGAGGAAAGGTCTGTGTCTTACAGGCAGACCTCAGAGATATTGTGGGTTTGGTTCCAGACCACCTCAATAGAGCACGTATCACAATAAAGCAAGTCACATGAATTTTTTGGTTTCCCAGTGCATATAAAAGTTATATATACACTATACTGTAGTCTATCGAGTGCACAATAGTGTTATGTCTTTAAAAAATGTATATACCTTAATTTAAAAATATTGCTAAAAAATGCTAACCACCACCTGAGTCTTCAGCCAGTTGTAATCTCCCCACTAATGTGAATTCCTCCTTCATGAAATCTTCACCCTTGGAGATTCACTTTTGTGCATCTCTTTGACAACCTTGAGGATATTGGATCATGAATATGAAAATGGTTGAGATATGTGAGTTTTAAAATCAGTACTTCACTGAACATTTGAATGGATTGCCAGATTTAAAAAAAAAAACTTCATATGCATATTATTTGCTACAAAGCCAATTTACAAACATATCCTTGAAATCAGAGGAAAGAGGATCCCTGAACAATTTCTAGTGAGCAAGGGATGGTAATGTAAAATGCATTGTATTTTACCCTTATTTAAGCCAAGAAGCATGGTGGGATGGTTAAGACATGAATTTTAGCTTGGCTCCAAATCTTGGCTCCATCACCTACTTGTTGTGTGAGCTTAGTGTGAAACCTCAGTCTTCAATCCTGTCACCTATAAAATGGGTATAATGATAAACCCCACTTCTCAGGGCTGTTGGGAGGGTAAGAGAGTCTGTACTTACCATTTAATAGCATATCGTAGGTATATCATAAATGCCATTTTAATTATTGTTATTATTATTGTTACATGATGTCTTTAATAGTTCTTCTATTTAGTGGTTTCCCTTTCTTGCTTGAGGGAAGCCGTAAATCTTCATAAAGACTTGTCTCTTCTCGACCCCCATTTTCTCTGTGTAGCCTTTAGTTTCTTATTGGTAGATTCTTCTATGACACATTTTTTCATTTTTCTTTCTAATCACCCATTTCTTGCATTTTAATAGTGGGGCCGCTTTTCCAACAACTATTTATGTGGAGTAACTGATGCCAAGAGAGGTTATGCTATGCTGAATACTTTATTTATATTTTTTATGTAAACATAATTTGCTTTGTAGGCACAATATAACAAAAGCTCTAAAGCCACGAATACATTAGACAATGTTTCAGTTCACTCCAATCCAGCTTAAATTACAGAGAAGCCTTCACAGTTCCTTTAAGGCAAACTGAGACAATCTCTACCCTTCCCTCAGAAAAACAATCACGT